GTAGATGTATGTGTGTGCATATTTGTGTGTGCTTGGGTGTATATATATACATATGCGTATGTTTGTGTGCATGTGTATATGAGTGTGTGTGTGTGTGTGTATATATATATGGCGTATTTTGGGGGGTTTTAAGTCCGTTCTGCTGAGGGTTTTTCGTATCTTAGGGGTGATGAAAACTCAGTGAACTGTTAGGTGTATTGCCTCAAAATTTCGTGTCAATTCGTCCAATGGTTTCTGAGTTATGTTAATCCCACAAACGAGCATTACATTTATATATATATATATATATATATATATATATATATATATATATATATATATATCTCCTGTGATAGATTCACCTTTTTTTCATATGTTGGAAACAACTTGAATGCACATGATAGCAATTAGTTTTTAGAAGAAATCTAGCTTACAACCTCTGAGGATGGTTGCTACAAATGCAGGTGAAACGTCAGGAGAGAATGCTTCTAGAACATGTCCATACAGCTTGAAATACCTACAACAACCCAGTGATTCCAGTCATGAAAGCCTTCGATAATAAATCTAGCTTTGTGGTGTCAGATTGCCTGTCCAGTTTGTATTCTTGAAAGAAAAATGCCGAGATGTAAGGAATTGTAGGAGTTGAAGCACAAAACACCTGTAGGGCCAAAGTTAGCCCATGCCTAACCTAAATGATTAGCACCCCGTCATCTTCTTTGGTTGTGAAAACCTTAATGAAACCTCCCAGGACCTTTTCCCTTGGGCACCCTTTTGATGCTGCTGGGCTTCCCCTCCCTGCCGTCTTCAGCTGCTCCCGGTCAAATGAGGTCGGAGGCGTAGGGAGGAGCTGGGCTGGGGCAGCTGCTGCGTGCGTGTACACTGTGCCAAGAGCCAGAAGACTCTGTTGATAGCAGCCAGACAAACAAGGCCTTGGCATCGTTGCTTCCGCGGCAGTGCCCATATGGAACCTGGGGACCCGCATGGGCAGGAGGTGAGTGGATAAGTTCATGCCCTCCAGGAGACCCGTCTCTCCCCTCCTCCTGTTCCTCCTTCCTAGGGGCAGCTGAGGCCAGGAATCTGGAGTTCTGGCTTCCAGTTTGTTGAGCCGCAAGGCCTCAACCTCTGCCTGAAATGGAAACTGGGTGTCTTAGTTTTCATCCTGCCTAGAAAGCCAAAAGATTTTATTTCTTGGTGGGCTTCCTCAGTTTACAACAGTGGTTCTCAACCTGTGGGTCCCCAGACGTTTTGGCTTACAACTCCCAGAAATCCCAGCTGTTAGGATTTCTGGGAGTTGAAGGCCAAAACACCTGGAGACCCACAGGTTGAGAACCACTGCTCTAGGAGGACTTCTCTGCCCTCTCAAAGCTGTGATTCGAAGGGAACTACAGTAGAGTCTCGCTTATCCAACCTTCGCTCATCCAACGTTTTGTATTATCCAATGCAGTCTGCCTCCTGCCCGGATCCACAGCTGTTTCAATACATTGCGATGTTTTGGTGCTAAATTTGTAAAGACAGTAATTACTACATAACGTTACTATGTATTGAAACTGCTTTTTCTGTCAATTTGTTGTAAATGATGTTTTGGTGCTTAATTTGTAAAATCATAACATAATTTGATGTTCAATTGGTTTTTCCTTAATCCCTCCTTATTATCCAACATTTTCGCTTATCCAATAAGCAAGTCTCTACTGTACTTCCATTTAAAGTATCTTATGTAATCTTGGGTAAGCAACACTGATAGTCCACATGGAAGAGACTACAAAGACTATCCATTCTGTGTAATACAGTAGAGTCTCGCTTATCCAACCTTTGTTCATCCAACATTTTGTATTATCCAACGCAGTCTGCCTCCTGCCAGGATCAACAGCTGTTTCAATACATTGCGATGTTTTGATGCTAAATTCGTAAATACAGTGAATACTACATAACGTTACCATGTATTAAACTGCTTTATTCTGTTGATTTGTTGTAAAACAAAATGTTTTGGTGCTTAATTTGTAAAATCATAATGTAATTTGACATTTAATAGGCTTTTTCTTAATTCCTCCTTATTATCCAACATTTTCACTTATCCAACATTCTGCTGGCCTGTTTATATTGGATAACAGAGACTTTACTATATCCATTTTGTTCCCTTCTTATGTCCTAATTATTTATGTCTGCTCTCTCTTTCCAAATTGGAATAGTAACTACTGTATATATCAGGCATGGGCAATCTTCGGTCATCTGGGTGTTTTGGACTTCAGCTCCCACAATTCCAGTAGGCTGTTGAAGTCCTAAACATCAGAAGGGCTGAAGTTTGCCATGCTTGTATAAATCAACCTTATGTATGCGTTGAAGGGTAGTTTGGGGGTTAGAATTGTGGATTTATGTGACCCATGGATAAGTCAAGAGTCATTCTGCAGAGAAGGGAAAGGCCAATAGAGAAAGTAGAGGGGAGTGGTGCTTCTTTTAGGTTCTCTCGGGACAGATCAAAATCCTGCTTTTTGCTACTCTATTAGGAAATTCAGTACTTACATAGACTCAACTTAAGTTTTTTGGATTGATATTTTAAAGTAAAATTTCTAGACTTATACATGAGCACATACAACAGTATTCTAGACTTGCACGCCATCTCTGTTTGAACTAATCTAAACTGTTGTTGAATTGCAAATTCTTCAGATGTCATTGAACTGCAAATTCTCCAGCCAGCGTAGTGATTAGTTAGGAACATGAGGAGAAGCCATTTGGCAACATTTAGAGGGTTGCACAATTCCAACCATGTCCACAGTAGTCCATGCCTTAGTTACATCCAGAATGGACTACTGTAGTACACTCTATGTAAGGCTGCCTTTGAAGATGGTTCGGAAATTTCAGTTAGTGCAAAGTTGGCTGCCAGATTACTAACAGGGGCTAGGTATAAGGAACATACTATGTACCTGCTAAAACAGCTCCACTGGCTTCTGACAATTTTCCAGGCTCAGTTCAAGGTGTAGGTTATTACACTTTGGGTCCAACATATCTTCGAGACCACATCACTATGAACCAGTGTGGGCTTTGAGATCAGCAGGGGAGGTCCTTCTCTCAGTCCCACAAGTGTAGTTAGTGGGGACGAGAGAGAGGGCCTTCTCTGTGGTGGCTGCCTGGCTCTGGAATACCCTCCCAAAAGAGATTAGGTTAGCCCCCACTCTTGATTCCTTCCAATCCAGCCTAAAAACATGGATTTTTAAGCAGTATTTTGGCCTCGAGTAGGATGACACTCTGGTACTTTAGTTGTGAATTCATGGCAGCTAGTTTTAACAACAGATGGTCTGCATTTTTAACTTGTGTTATTTTATTTTATATGTTGATAGTAAGTGTTTTTATAATTTTATATGATATTGTTTTATACTCATGTACTGTTTATGTTATATACTGCGCTTTGAGTGCCTCGTAAGCCACCCTGAGTCTCTTTTGGGAGATGGTGGACGGATATAAATTTATTTATTTATTTATCATGTCAGGGGCAGACCAAACATGTTGCATTGCATTTTTTAACAAACAAACAAACAAAACACAAAGTTTGCAAGCTTGGTAGTTGATTAAATGTCCTTTGACCAGTATCTGGCCACTTGGAGTGCCTCTGGTGTTGCTGCAAGAAGGTCCTCCATTGTGCATGTGGCAGGGCTCAGGTTGCATTGCAGCAGGTGGTCTTCTCCACACTCGCATGTCGTGGATTCTACTTTGTAGCCCCATTTCTTAAGTTTGGAGGGATATAAATAAAGATGATGATGATGATGATGATGATGATGATGATGATGAAGGCAGCACACCCTCCAACTGTCTCAATTTGGCAGGGACAGGCCTCTGTCATCCCACTTTTAGAGCTGCATTTGTAATGTCACATATTTTCTCTACCTTCCCCCTTTTTAGTCTACTTCAGCTCTTGCAGACTGGTTTTAAAGTGGTTTGCACTCAGTTATCTCAATGGACAATAGGAAGTGGTGGAAACTTGATGTTCCCTATAGTTTCAGTCAAAACCAAAACCACTGTAGTCTCTCTCGACTTGGGTGTTGTACTGCATGAATTATTTTTGCCATCTTACAACTCTATCCCAGTTTTTATTTGTCAAATAGACAAGATGAGGCAGCCTTTGGTTTTCCAGGTGTTATTCGGTTGCATTTTGCCCCACTGGCCATGTTGGTTGGGGCAGATAGTAGTTAAGAGTCCAAGAATATATAGATGCTTATCCTATGAACTACTGTAGTTTTCATTGGGGATGGTAAACCTATATCTGGACTGTACCAGATTTGGCTATTGGAGGGAAGGACCTGTACAATGGTATGCTCCTCTTTTCTAAGCTACAGTGAGCAGATTGTGGCTCTCCATGGATCCAATCATCCTCATTTTGAAAATTCCCCCTGCCTCTCCATCAACCCCCCAATTATAAAATTGTGCCGTTTTATATAAGGGACACTATTGTATTATGCCATGGTATATAATAAGACTTGAGCATATATGGATTTTGATACCCTCAGGGAATCCTGGAAACCAAACTTCAGCGGATACCACTGGTCTACTGTACATGGATAGTTCTTCTTAATTAGAGTTCTTTTATTCTGTACTATATAAGTCAGAATCCCCAGTGGTGCAGTGGGTTAAAGCACTGAGCTGCTGAACTTGCTGACTGAAAGGTTGGCGGTTTGAATCCAAGGAGTGGGGTGAGCTCCCGTTGTTAGGTCCAGCTTCTGCCAACCAAGCAGTCCGAAAACATGCAAATTTGAGTAGATCAATAGGTACCGCTTCAGCGAGACGGTAACGACGATTCATGTAGTCATGCTGGCCACGTGACCTAGGAGGCGCCTACGGACAACGCTGGCTCTTCGGCTTAGAAATGGAGATGAGCACCACCCCACAGAGTAGGACACGACTAGACTTAATTTCAAAGGGAAACCTTTACCTTTACCTTATTGTATAAATTTGATAGAAACATATTATTAAATGCTTCTCCTCTGTAGACCATGTTTTTCTAATAACTGGATTTTCCCTCCCTTGTTTTTTAGATGGAAGCGGAGCTACCTGTCCTTGGAGAACAAGGAAGCTGGCAGGAGATAAGCAAGTTTACTTGAGGTAAATCTACTGTGAGATTTCTGTTGGATCTAAATTGAGTCCTGCTTCTCACTCTCACCCTTTCCTTTCAAGTGATTTCAAGCTTATGTTTGCCCATTTTAATCTTTGTGTCAATAAAACTAGATACAAGCCTGAGTTGCATGACTGCATAGCTGTATGAGAGGACATAATGATGTGAAATCTGTACACCCAGCACTAAAAGGAGGCAATTGCCAACAGGTTGCTGTTGTAAACGTGGTCTTTATGGCACAAGTAGAGCATAATGGATCAATGTGGTTTTTATGGCAGATTTTGTAATGTCCTGTGACTTTAGCCACTTTTCATGTGTTGAGAGCAACTTGAGAAACTGCAAGTCACTTCTGGTGTGAGAAAATTGGCCGTGTGCAAGGACGTTGCCCAGGGGATGCCCAGATGTTTGATGTTTTACCATCTTTGTGGGAGGCTTCTCTCATGTCCCTTTATGGGGAGCTGGAGCTCACAGCAAGAGCTTACCTGCTCTCCCTGGATTAAAACCGCTGACCTGTCAGTCAGCAGTTCTGCTGGCACAAGGTTTTAACCCATTGTGCCACTGGGTGTTCCTTACTTTAACCATGAGATGGCTAAAAGAAGAGGGCAAAACCATTATGATTGAGGAATAATTGTCTTATTTGTTCAATTCTGTGGTTAAAATCCCTCTCAGCTGGAATAGATTGTCTCCGAAGTTGGTGGCCTTTCCATCTTTGGAGATCTTTGAACAAAGGTTGGATGGGCATCTTTCAGGAATGCTTTAGTCGTATATGCCTGCATGGCAAACAATTGGATTAGCTGACCCATGTGGTTTATTCCAACTCTGAGATTTTATCAATTTTCTAATGCTTGGAAGATGGCGTGTGCACCTCTACACTTTCCTACTCTGAGAGTCTTCGTATCTCTTTCTTTATCTTATCTGACATCTGTATTTCTTCTGCAGAACATGTAGACTCATAACTTCCATGTATGAATGGGCCACCAGAGTTACACCACCTCAAATGAAGCAACTTGAGCTGTCCACATGTTCAGGGCTGCCAGTCAAGCGTTTACCATACATACTCGAGTATAAGCCGAGTTTTTCAGCCTCTTTTTAGGCTGAAAAAGCTCCCCTCAGCTTAAACTTGAGTCAAGGTTATTTATTATTTTATTCTGTTGTTGTTGTTACATTTATTATTTTACTCTAATTTTATTATTATATTTATTATTTTATTCTTATTAAATTTATTATTTTTCCTATTATTGTTGTTATTACTACATGTACATTATTTTACTCGATTGTTATTATTATTTTATTACATTTATTATTTTCCTCTATTATTATTGGAAGGATATGTAAGCACATTTACATTGAAGAAGGTTAAAATAATGGTTTAATCAGAGTTGGACAGTCTTATCTTAAATATCTTATGTAAATATTCAAAAACATTTAACCTACTGATGCCTCAATTAATGTATGTTTATTGGTATCTATTTTTATTTTGAAATTTACTAGTAGCTGCTGCATTTCCCACCCTCGGCTTATACTCGAGTAAATATGTTTTCCTGGTTTTTTTGTGGTAAAATTAGGTGCCTCAGCTTATATTCGAGTATATACAGTAATAATGTCCCAGGATGTGTGAATTAGTCAATTGCCTTCTCCCATAGGGGATGCACGGAGATCCTGCCAGAGGGGAGAGTGCCCAGACCGGGAGAAAGCAGAAAGAAGTGTAATTTGTCATTTTAGGAGTAAGTATACTGCATTGTTAAATTGCTTATCTTCAGGAAAACAAATATATATTGATTTTGGTGGTATGATCTCAAGCTGCAGATTACTTAGCTGAGTCTATTCTCAGTTCCATCTTAGCTGTAGGGACTGCTTTAGTTTGCCATCCTGTTTCTGTATCTTATGTACAATAGTTGTAATCTAGCTGTCTGATTCTATATTTGTCATATTTTAATAATAATAATAATAATAATAATAATAATAATAATAATAATGGCAATCTAGCTGTCTGGTTTTATATTTGTCATATTTTAATAATAATAATAATAATAATAATAATAATAATAATAATAATAATAATTGCAATCTAGCTGTCTGGTTTTATATTTGTCATATTTTAATAATAATAATAGTAATACACTTTATTTATACTCCACCCTTCTTCCCTAGGAGACTCAGAGTGGATTACATTTACATACATAGGCAAACACTCAGCGCCTTTACAATAACATGAGACACACAAACACAAACAAAGGCAAGGCTTTTCCTTTCATTTCCGGCATCTGGAGGTGGTGCTTGTCTCTGACTCTGGGGAGTGCTTTTTCTCAATTTTCAAGCCTAGGAGCCTGCGTTGTCATCTCCTGGTCATGTGGCCGGCAAGATTGCTTGGAGCGTCTCTTTGCCTTTTTTCCGCCAAAGCAGTGCTTATTTATCTACTCACATTTGCATGTTTTCTAACTGCTAGGTTGGCAGGAACTAGGACTGACAAGCGAGAGGTCAGCCCATCTTGGGGATTCAAACTGCCAACCTTCAGGTCAGCAGTTCAGCAGCACAAGGGTTTAACACCTTTGTCCCAACGCAGCCCCAGATGGATATTTAATTCTTATCTATTAGCATTGCTTCAGAACCAATAATATTCCTAACTTAATACTCCTGATTGAAATGTTTTGATAGAATTGCAGTTTGGGAAGAGTGTGATTATTCCTGTGTGGGAATAATATCCCATTGATCAGATTTATTATGGCCAATATTTGCTGTTATCACTGCTTATTTTTCCTCAGTTTATATTATATTGTTCACATTCTGATCTGTTTTAAATAGTTTACATTAATATTGCTGGTATGATGACCCAAGATCCTATGATGCATGACAAGATATACATATTTAAATGAAGTGTTTTTCCACTTGTGAAGTGTGATTTCCTCTGTATAAATTTGCCAAAAGTTAGGACTGCCTCTCTGATTGAATGAAGCATTGAAACAGGCAGAACGAAACTTTGACATAGCTGATGTGTTATACCACAGGAATAACCAAATTATCACGATGGGTCCGACTGGCACACAATCTAACTCAAGAAATGAGAACCATTCAACCCCTCTAAGCTGATGGACTGCAACTCCTAGCATTCCTCATAATTGCCTGTGCTGCCTATGGCTAATACCATTGCAGTCTGACAACATTGGAAGGGCCACATGCTTCCGACTCCTATCAAAATTATAACTTCAGTATTATTTATTTATTTATTTATTTATTTAAAACATTTATATTCCGCCCTTCTCACCCCGAAGGGGACTCAGAGCGGAGCACAGCATATATACGGCAAACATTCATTGCCGGGACACAAATTCTTATATACATACATAAACATTAAAAACATTTATCAAAATATTAAAATACACCATTTAAAACCGTCCTAGTCATTCTAGTCAGTATGTCTTCCATACCCATAAGAGATGTGTTCCGGTACTTTGCATGGCTATCTGAAGCTGAATAATTATGTACCCTTTTGTTTTAAATGGAATGATTGACAAGATACCAAGAAGAGGGTATAACATGAACAGAAGGCCCTAAGTGAAACTTTTTTTCCTGTGTCAGGAGTGACTTGAGAAACTGCAAGTCGCTTCTGGTGTGAGAGAATTGGCCATCTGCAAGGATGTTGCCCAAGGGATGCCTGGATGTTTTGATATTTTACCATCCTTGTGGGAGGCTTCTCTCATGTCCTCACATGGGGAGCTGGAGCTGACAGATGGCAGCTCACCCTGCTCCCCGGATTTGAATGGCTGACCTTTTGGACAGCAGTCCTGCAGGCACAAGTGTTTAATCCATTGCGACATCTGCAATGAAACTGCAGAAGCAAAACCATGTATATATCATATATACTCGAATATAAGCCGACCCGAATATAAGCCGAGGCACCTAATTTTACCACAAAAACCTGGGAAAATGTATTGACTGTAATAATAACAACAATAATAAAGTAAAATAATAAATGTAATAATAATAATAGACTAAAATGATAAATGTAGTAATAATGAATAAAGTAAAATAATAAATGTAATAATAATAATAATAATAACAGAATAAAATAATAAATAACCTTGGCTCGAGTATAAACCGAGGAGGACTTTTTCAGCCTAAAAAAGGGGCTGAAAAACTAGGCTTATACTCGAGTATATACAGTAAATTCCATAGATCTGCATCGGGCATATACCTAAAGAAGCTTTATACCAAGCAAGAAAACATGTACAAAGGTATTATACAGTATTGCCATTCTAACACTTCTGTTTTGCTTCTAGCTGTCTGTGGAAAAAAGAATGATGTGGAAGACATTGCTGATGCTTGAAGTGGGTGGAGTAGGAGGGCGGTCTCCTTGCGTGTTCCCGTTCTTTGTCCCTGCTTTCCGATACCGGTCCTCTTCGGCCATCGATCAGCAGCATGAGCTGGCCCGTGAGCGATCCAAGACGGTTACCTCTTTCTATAACCAGTCGGCCATTGACGTAGCAGCCGAAAAGGTGAGCAGAAGACGATTACCGTATCTGTTATCTCTCATTCACAGTCCAGTCCAAACACACTGAAAGCCTGGCAGAGTAGGAAAACATTCTTGTTTCTCAACCCTTTCCTTCTTTGAGGCGTAGTTTGCCTCACCCTGCAAGCTGTGAGCCATGAGCGGGTCTGGACGCTCCCAACTCTTCCTTCTTGCAGCAGAGGGACAAACCCTGCCAGGACTAGAAGCCTCAGGAAGATGTGTTGTGTGAAGAACAGGCCTGAGCAGGCAAATTCTCTTCCTCATTGCTAGTTTTGGGACTACTTAAAAAAAATTATGACCTAACTCAGTTTGTTAAAAATTGGGGATAGGAGTGTTTTGCTAACTTTTGGGAAGAGAAGTGGAAAGCAGGAACAGATAATTCTTTGTTGTTTACATTTCCCTCAGAAATCACCCATTTTCTATTGTTTTTGGACAGGATTATCTTTGAGCCCTTGGGTCCCATTTTTCTAATCACCGCCGCTTAATGAGTTCCCCAAACAGATTGGCATAGAACCGAAGGGGGGAGTGTCCACATCATAAGCTAAAGGGAGAAGTCTAATCTTGCTTCTGCTGTATGGCACCCACCCTGGGGAAAACACTGATTAATTAAATAAAACATCTGCCTGGCATTATACAAGAGGCCTTATGAGAGAGGCTTCTGTTATCACTTGGCACAATGAAGACGTTACCCGCTCCGTTTTGAACAGAAGCCATTTATGAATGGAACTTGAGGCATTTGAGTAGGGCTCCAGTGTTCACATAGTAGTTGGGACTTCTAGGTGAATTGTGACTACATATTACAGGGGAACAACTTGCCAGCGCGATTGCCCCTTGTTCCCCCTAGAGAATTGCTAAGCATCTTTACCTGGCAGATATATAACAGATGCTGCTTCTTCCCTTCCATTGACATCTGTGTGCTGGAGAAAAGCCTCAGCTGTTGCTTTCCTTACTGTTTATACAGCTTTTGAATGCAGAAGTAGCAACTTTATTATGTGGAACAGCATCTGGTTTCCATTTAGAGGGAACTTCACTTTGCATTTTGAGAGTCAAGCAAGTGAGGAGGGAAAGACTTATGTAAGAAACTGAAGCCCCACCATTCATAAAACCTGCACATCAACTTTCTTCCCCATAATCCTGGGTTTCTGGAATTTCAGCAAAGACACTAGAACTAAACAGTGTCTATGCCTGGGCTGTATAAGTTGAAGGGAAATACAGTATGTATAAGTGCTGGCTTTGGCCTATAAAGCCCTAAACAGTTCAGGCCCAGCTTACCTGTCCAAACATATCTCCCCCTATGAACCAGTTCGAGAGCTAAAATCTGCCGGAGAGGCCCTGCTCTCGGTCCCACCTCCTTTGCAGGTGTGACTGGTGGGATTAGAATCATAGAGTTGGAAGAAACCTGGTGGGCCATCCAGTCCAACACCATTCTGCCAAGAAGCAGGAAAATTGCATTGAAAGCACCCCCGACAGATGGCCATCCAGCCTCTGTTTAAAAGCCTCCAAAGAAGGAGCCTTCTCCAAATTCCAGGGCAGTGAGTTCCACTGCTGAACAGCTCTCTCAGTGAGGATATTTTTCCTCATGTTCAGATGGAATCTCCTCTCTTGTAGTTTGAAGCCATTGTTCTGCATCCTAGTCTCCAGGGCAGCAGGAAACAAGCTTGCTCCCTCCTCCCTATGACTTCCCCTCACATATTTATACATGGCTATCATGTCTCCTCTCAGCCTTGTCTTCTTCAGGTTAAACATGCCCAGCTCTTTAAGCTGCTCCTCATAGGGCTTGTTCTCCAGACCCTTGATCATTTTAGTTGTTGTCCTCTGGACACATTCCAGCTTATCAACATCTTCCTTCAATTGTGGTGCCCAGAATTGGACACAGTGTGATTCCAGATGTAGTCTAACCAAGATGAGAGACAGGGTCTTCTCATTGGTGACCCCTTGGCTATGGACCTCATTCCTCAGCAAAGTTAGATTGGCCCCCTCCCTCCTAGTGTTCAGGAAAAAAGTTAAGACCTGGCTGTGGAACCAGGCATTTGACAAATAGCATAAACCACAGTGTGATATGGAACCGACATAAATGAAAACAGCATGAACGATGACTACAGGGCTAGGTTCTATATTTTAATAGTTTTTAATTGCAGTTACCTTATATGTTTATTTGATTTTGATTTTAATGTTAAATGTGTTGTACTTTTATATTTTGTGTTGCAATGCGACATTGAATGATTGCCAAAACTGTAAGCCACTTGAGTCTCCTCCAGGGTGAGATAGAGCAAGATAGAAATATAGTAAATAAATAAAATAAACCCTGTAAATAAATATATTCAAAAGAATTGTTAACATGGTACTATGGGCCTCATTTTCAGTGCAGTCCTCTCCACATTCGCTGGAATTTGGGGCACAGGACCAACACAATTCTTTAAAAAAAAATTAAAAGTTTGTGTGTGTGTTTTTTATAATACATCTCTAGGAATCTCTAAGTCCTCCAGCATGGTTCTGTGGTAAGTTTATTCTGGATGTTGATTACAGAATCAAATCCTGGGCTTAGAAAGAGATGTTCTCTCTAGAAAGCTCTAGGTTAATGGTTCTCAACCTGTGGGTCCCCGGGTGTTTTGACCTACAACTGCCAGAAATCCCAGCCAGTTCACCAGCTGTTAGGATTTCTGGGAGTTGAAGGCCAAAACATCTGGGGACCCACAGGTTGACAACCACTGTCCTCCTGTGTGATTCTGTGTTGTGGTCAACTTCTAGCAGAAGAAGTTGATTGCAGAGCCATGCTGGAAGATCTAGAGCAGGCTTGCAGAATTTGTAACCCTACAGGCATTTGGGACTTCAGGTCCCAGTATTCCCAAACACCTGGAAAGCCACAAAAAGTGCGGGTCTGCTCTAGAGGTTCAAGCAAAAATTAACCATATAGCCATGCTGGAAGACAGAGAGATTCCTAGAGAGAACATTTTCAATGAAACTTGCAAAAGTGAAGCCTGAATATGTGGAAGCTCTGACTACACATTCCTTTCATGAGAGGATGAAAGTGGAAGCCATTCATAAGAAGCTGTGGATTTAAGGAACGGCTGGAAGAAAGGAAGGTAGTAAAGACAAGTTAATTTGTGGTGGAGAATAGTCAATGTTGGTGCTGTCTCCCCGATTGTTTTCATGGGGCCATTTTGGATGTTATGTGAACACTTGTTCCTTCTTTTCCCCCCAGCCTTCTGTGAGGTTGACGCCCACCACCATGCTGTATTCTGGACGTTCTCAGGATGGAAGCCACTTACTGGTAGGTGTGAGACCAGCTGCTTCCCCCAAATTAATGATTGTAAGATTCCTATCTCCAAGTTGTTTTGGTTCTTGTTCTCGCTTTTAATTCTTTTTGGTATGATTTGTTTCTGATCTCTACCATAAAATCTACTAAGTCTTAGTTTTCAAGATTAGTTTTCTAGGAAAAGGAAGTTTATTTATTTTGAGTAATCAGTGGTTTTTCAATCTTTGAAGCCTCCATGTGGATTTTGAATCAGTGTAGTCTCAAAACCTGCACCAAATGGCTCTGTTGGATAAGTACAACTGTGTTCTTGTGACTGTACTATCTCTGAAAGTATATGGTGATGCTATACAGTGTCAGGTCTACACATAGCATGGGCCACAATGTTATTCTGTATTGCAACCTTTTCTGCTCCCATATTTAGAGGTGTTTGGACTTTAGGAATTTTGGAGATCCATGGAAAGACTGGGCCATCTGTTTTGGCTTCATGTTTATGTTTAGGCTATCAGTCATCCTTAACAGAAGCAGTGTAATTTTTGCATTCTATGCAGTACCAAGAATTTGGTTGTTCAGTGTTGTTTACAAGTCATCACAACAACCAGGACCTTCTCAGTGGTGGCCCCTTGGCTGTGGAACTCCTTCCCTCCTAGCCTTCAGAAGGAAAGTGAAAACCTGGCTTTGGGGTCAAGCCTTTGGAGATTGACCCATGCAATGTGCAATGATAGCCTCGAAATATGTGCAGTTGGTCTTTGGAACGACCCCGGATTATGATTGAGGCTGGCATGATTTTAATAGCGAATGTGATGTTTTACATGTTTTAATGTGCATTTAATTTTAATTTTTAACTTGTGTATTCTAACTGTTTGTTGTCCAAAGGCATCGAATAGTTGCCACATGTAAACCTGCCTTGAGTCCCCTTCAGGGTAGAGAAAGGCAGGATACAAACAGAGTAAATAAATAAATAAATAAATATACCAAAAGCCTCTTAATTCCACACAACAATGAATACAGGTTGCCCCACCAAGATAACATGGGTAATGAATGGGAATTTTAAAGCTTTGCTATCAAGAGCTGGGTATAAATGCAAGAAACCTGTGATGGTTTTAGTAAGAGCTGCAATATTTTCTTTTCTGAGTATTATTGAGTTTCTAAGACTGAATAAAATAGAAAAATTATCTGGTCCAACTCTCCTCTCTCACCTCACTGCTCCTGCCAATCCATAGCACCTTATGCTTGGAGATACGTCATGCCAAAAGATCCTTGTGGGAATTCATGGTTTAACTAGTCTCAAACCGCATCCTAGTACCAGGAATCCCTGGATCTTATTGTCCCAAGATTGAATTCCTTATAACTTAGTTCCCAGATGCTCTGCAATGGTTCACCAGCCCAAATGCACAGAGGAGTGAGCTTTCTCATTTGATTTCCTTCCTGACCTTATTCCCATATTGTCTTAAAATTAATCCAAGAATCAGAATGGCTTTTTGATGGTTTCTGTCAGGTCACACCAACTTGTAGATTGCTGATAACAATAGGTCAGTGTGTCACTGCAATTGTTTTCTGTGCAACTTTCCAGTCATGACAGCTCCCGCTATTATCAGTTGGTGTGGCAACCCCTGTTTATCTCTTGTGTGCAACCAGGAGACATCTTTGTTTCCTTGTTTGCTCCATCAAGAGCACAACGAAAGAGTAGGATCAAGCAGCCAGGTTAACCAGGAAAAACTCCCTCCGGGCATAAGCAGAAACTGGGACATGCAGACTAGAGTAAAGGTTTTCGCCTGCTGTAGCTATGGCAACCTGTGACTCAGTTGCCATTGCCGCCTGAACACCTTGAGGGAAAAACAAAATTATGTCTGTGTTTGCAGCCTCAACATGTTGTGTTTTGAAGAGATCTTAAGATCTTTCTGGATGCTATTGCACTTCCTGGCCCAGATTAACTTGGAGCTCTTCTGCTGAGAATAAGACTTGCCCAAAACAACCTCATTAGCTCACCTTTCCCCCCAACACTGTTGACTGGTTATGCGGCAGTTTCAGTGCACAAAAATATGAAATAATTGATTTTATTTATAACTAGCTGTCCCCTGCCACACGTTGCTGTGGCCCACATGGGGGTTCTGTGTGGGAGGTTTGGCCCAATTCTATTGTTGGTGGGGTTCGGAATGCTCTGTGATTGTAGGTGAACTATAAATCCCAGCAACTAAAACTCACAAATGTCAAGATTCTATTTCCTCTAAACTCTACCAGTGTTTACATTAGGGTATATTGAGTACTTGTGTAGTGTTTGGTACAGATCCATCATTGTTTGAGTCCACAGTGATCTCTGGATGTAGGTGAACTATAACTCCAAAATCAAAGGACACTGCCCACCAAACCCTTCCAGTATTTTCTGTTGTTCATGGGAGAACTGTGTGCCAAGTTTGGTCCAATTCTGTTGTCAATGGGATTCAGAATGCTCTTTGATTGTAGGGGGACTATAAATCCCAGCAACTCCAACTCCCAAATAACAAAATCAATTTTTTTTGAGTGAAGGACATACATTGGGTTATTAGGTGTCTTGTGTCCAAATTTGGTGTCAATTCGTCCAGTGGTTTTTGAGTTCTGTTAATCCCACAAACGAACATTACATTTTTATTTATATAGATGGACAAAATCCTATGGGCACCATGGTCTTGCGTTTGTGGCATAATGTAAAACAAACCATATGTAGTTCACATTGGATCAGCCCACACACTGCCTTGCTAGGGAAAGAAAATATGCCAAGCAGGTGAACATTAAAGAACAAGTACCGTAGTTTGCTCTTTGTAGTTCAGAACAACATATACACAATGTGATCAGTTGCATCAACTCACTAAATGTCCTTTTCTGAGAGATTTAAAATGGTCCTTTCTGTGTCCACATGAGAGACCTTTTCAGTAGCTCTCTCTGCTTCTCTCTTCTCTCTCTCTGCACATGTATATCTTGAGCCTGAACAAAAATGCAGCAGTATCCAAAAGTTTCAGGCTCAGCCATCACCCCGTCCATTGCCCAGCCAATCAGCTTCATGCATCTTTACAGTTGACACACACACTCACTGATTGCTTGCATGTTCCAAAATAGTTTACCTGGGTAACAATATAATCAAACAGTATAATCAATTGACCTGTCTATGTTTTATTATTACAGAAAAGTGCCCGTTATCTGCATCATGAACTTCCGGTCCGCATTGCTCATCGCATCAAAGGCTTCCGGAGCCTCCCCTTTATTATTGGTTGCAATCCCACCATCCTCCATGTGGTACGTGGGCCAGGACACTACAGCAGGAGTGGGTAACTGCAGAGACAGTGGGCTAGATTACTCTATGCATTTACCCCAACAGTCTGCACTATTGTGTTTCAGCCCCACTTTGGCTGATTTGGGGCCTTTTATTTGGTTGGGGCTTTTTTTGGAGAGTCGTCTGGTGGGAGGTGGGGAAGATAAGTCACTGTATTTAGGAACATTGTGAGATGTTTTGAGGTGTTTTGGGTGTTTTACAATAGATGGATACAGAATATGTGCAGTGACTATTGAAATGTCCCTGGATTACGATTGTGGATGGTATGGTTTTAATAATGAATGTAATGTTGTATTGTCGAAGGCTTTCATGGCCGGAATCACTGTGTTTTTGTAGGTTTTTTCGGGCTGTATGGCCATGGTCTAGAAGCATTCTCTCCTGATGTTTCACCTGCATCTATGGCTTGCCATAGATGCAGGCGAAACTTCAGGAGAGAATTCCTCTAGACCATGGCCATACAGCCCGAAAAAACCTACAAAAACCCAGAATGTAATGTTATTAAATGTTTTAATATGTATTCATTTTAATGTTTATTTTAATTGTATGATGTTTTTAAGGCATTGAATAGTTGCCTATGTGTAAAGCTACATTGAATCCCCTTTGGGGTTGAGAAGGGTGGGGTGTAAATAGGGTAAATAAATAAATAAATTTGCGGGGCAGAAAATCGCCTGACAATCAGCATGAAGAAATTAAGGGGTTCAGAATTTTAGAGGCCATATATTGAAGTCACATGGCCTGTACTTAGCTCAACCCACTTCTAAGGAGATGATTAGTACTAGTTGGATCGTATTAGAACTAGGGCAGTAAGACTCTTAGGAAGTGGACATTCAAATAATGTGGCAATGAAGCAGCACAATAATACCACACTGCACACATTGTTTCCTATTTTTCAGTCAAATGGTTATCAGTATGCCTTAACAATAGGTTTGAATAAAGACTGAACAAAATTGTGAAAGTCTCCATATGTGAGAATTATAATTTTTTTCTAGATCACTAGTTCTCAACCTGTGGGTCCCCAGATGCTTTGGCCTTCAACTCCCAGAAAGCCGAACAGCTGGTAAACTGGCTGGGATTTCTGGGAGTTGTAACCATCTGGGGACTCACAGGTTGAGAACCACTGCTCTAGAAGTCGTTTAACTGCACCTCCCAGCATCCCTCACCATTGGCTGTGTTGACCTATCCTGCAGGGAGTTCCATCACCTGGAAGCCTCTGGATCCAAACCCGTCGATATACATATGCAGATGATCATACAGTTTTTGAAAGTCTCCCCAATTAATGGTGCTGGCATATTCTCTCTTTTAACTCTCTTATTAAAAGCAAATGGGAATTTCTGGGAGGCCTGGTATTTACCAGGCCTTCATATTATTTCCTGGCCAATGGCTGGATGTTTTCCTAGGGAGGTCAATTCTTCCAGCCCTGAACTGTTGTTGCTGATGTTTCCAATCTGAACTTGGCCTTCATTGGCTAGCCTTAGTTCAGTGGCTCTTTCAGCTTTTTATTTTATCATGGTGGAGATGGGTGTATTACAGCAACCGAGCTGGGTAAACTACTAAAAATATAATTATATAATTACAGACTTTTTCAAACTTTTGTATGGAATTTGCCTAAGTTTATCATTTAATGTTTCCTTGTTGAAACCCAGAAACCTGGCTCTTATCATTTCTTGCTTCTAATATATTAAGAACACACCCTTCCAAGAAATTAGAAAGTAATTTGACAGTTTGGGACTATGTGAATTTTGTAATCTGTGCTTCTGCTTTAATTAATTTTTCCTTCTTTCAGCATGAGCTTTACATCCGAGCGTTCCAGAAGCTGAGTGAGTTCCCCCCAGTAAGTATTCTCCAGTCGTGGAACATAAATAGGCAATGGAAACTGTCCAATAAATGGGAGATAACACAAAATATATTTTGCAGTAGCCAAATAAAATATGAACATATGATGCAAGCATGATTATTGGAAGTTAGTTATAAAATGTTTAAATGCCCAGAGGGCACCAGATCCTGTCTGATTTTGGAAGTCAATTGGAGTCAGTGCTGGTTAGCACTTCAAAGGCAGCACCAAGTGCCCAGGGCTATAATCCAGAGCCCATGGCAAACCACATCCAAATACTCCTTGTCTAAGAAAACCATGTGATGTTTATGGGGTCATCATGAGTTAACAGGCTCCCTGGTGGAACAACAGGTTATACCACTGAGCAGCTGAACTTGCTGACCAAAAGGTCGGCAGTTCGAATCCGGGGAGCGGGGTGACCTCCCTCTGTTAGGCCCAGCTTCTGCCAGCCTTGCAGTTCAAAAACATGCAAATTTGAGTAGATCAATAGGTACTGCTTTAGCAGGAAGGTAACGGTGCTCCATAAAGTTGTGCTGGCCACATGACCTTGGAGGTGTTTATGGACAACACCAGTTCTTCGGCTTAAAAAAAAAGGATGTTTAGTGTTTTCTAGCTTAAAGTGGGACTGGTTGAGTGGGACCAGATGTCTTCCTCATGTATATGTGTATTCTTTTCCTCTGTCCCCACCCATCCTCAACCTGTGCATTGATCTTTAAAGGCATTTTGTCCCCTATCTTTTTCCCTCTGAACAGATTAAGGACCAAGAAGCTGAGGCCCAGTACTGCAAACTGGTTCGCCAACTCCTAGATGACCACAAGGATGTTGTGACGCTACTAGCTGAGGGCTTACGGGAGTGTCGTAAGCATATACAGGTAAGGCCAAGTTACAGTGGTTGGACCCCTGGTCTGGTTCTAAAATCAGGCCTCACTTCGGCCACATGTACAAACTGTCAGGCAAGTGTGCTTATTAACAAAAGACCCTCCTCATAAATTTACAGGAGAGTAACTTATTAGCAGCAGCGTGACCCAGCATTAGTAGCCCAAGGTGATAGAAAGAACAGTAATACACAGACCAATGTTATCTCTTCCATAGGAGGCTTTTCTTTGTAGTAAAATACTATGGTTGCACTATTTACCTAAACAAGGTTTCCATAGCACAAATAGAAGTTCTTTATACTTCCTTCTTTGCTTCCACGCTGGGCTTCTTTCTCATGCAGATAAAAAGCTTCATTCTCACAGAGCCTCCTCTCACACCAGAGTTACACAGGAGCTTCACACAGTAGCTTTATACACACAGCAGCTTTCACACACTGAAGCTTCACTCTCAATGTCCTTCAACCTGGGGCTTCTCTCACTGAAGCTTCTCACACCAGACCTTCTCAAACTAAGGCCTACCTCACACTGAGGACTTTCTCTCACTGAGGCCTTCTCACACTGAGGGCTCTCTTAGACTCTCATACACTGAGGTGAACTAACACTGAGGTGAACTAACACTGAGGGCTTTCATACTGAGGACTACTAACATAATGAGGCCCTTCTCCCACAGAGACCTCTCACAGACTGAAGCTACCTCTGACTGAGGGCAACTAAGCTACAGGTACATCTTGTCAGCTCACAGTAGCTGCTCCCAAATGAAGACACAGGACAATGCTCTGGTATCAATGAGAACTTTACTACAGGAAACATAGACATGCAAAAAGCCGAGAGTGCCTGGCGCCGGTTCGCACTCCCTTATATACCTTCCCCCCACATTCAAAATGTAACTCCCGCCAAGACAAAACCCCGCGTAATTCACCCGACAAAACTGCTAACCGTTCCCTCTCAGGGTCAACCGCCACAGGTGTCTTATCAGAGTTCTACGTCAGGAGCCCTGATTTCTGGCGCCAGAATCCGGTCCTGGAAACTGGACCCTGTTGTTGTTGTTCATTCGTTCAGTCGTCTCCGACTCTTCGTGACCTCATGGACCAGCCCACGCCAGAGCACCCTGTTGGCCGTCACCACCCCAGCTCCTTCAAGGTCAGTCCAGTCACTTCAAGGATGCCATCCATCCATCTTGCCCTTGGTCGGCCCCTCTTCCTTTTCCTTCCACTTTCCCAGCATAATTGTCTTCTCTAGGCTTTGCTGTCTCCTCATGATGTGGCCAAAGTACTTCAACTTTGTCTCTAGTATCCTTCCCTCCAATGAGCAGTCGGGCTTTATTTCCTGGAGGATGGATTGGTTGGATCTTCTCGCAGTCCAAGGCACTCTCAGAACTTTCCTCCAACACCACAGCTCAAAAGCATGTATCTTCCTTCGCTCCGCCTTCCCTAAGGTCCAGCTCTCACATCCGTAGGTGACTACAGGGAATACCATGGCTTTGACTATGCGGATCTTTGTTGCCAGTCTGATGTCTCTACTCTTCACTATTTTATCGAGACTGGACATTGCTCTCCTCCCAAGAAGTAAGCGTCTTCTGATTTCCTGGCTACAGTCTGCATCTGCAGTAATCTTTGCACCTAGAAATACAAAGTCTGTCACGGCCTCCACGTTTTCTCCCTCTATTTCCCAGTTGTCATTCATTCTTGTTGCCATAATCTTGGTTTTTTTATGTTTAGGTAGCCCAGCTTTTGCACTTTCTTCTTTCACCTTGATTAGAAGGCTGCTCAGCTCCTCTTCGCTTTCGGCCATCAGAGTGGTGTTATCTGCATATCTGAGGTTGTTAATGTTTCTTCCAGCAATTTTCACCCCGCCTTGCATTCGTCAAGCCCCACACATCGCATGATGTGTTCTGCATACAAGTTAAAAAGGTTGGGTGAGAGTATGCACCTTGCCGTACGCCTTTCCCAATCTTGAACCAGTCTGTTGTTCCGTGGTCAATTCTGACTGTTGCTACTTGGTCCTTGTACAGATTCCTCAGGAGAGAGACAAGGTGGCTTGGGATGCCCATCCCACCAAGAACTTGCCACAATTTATTATGAACACAGTCAAAAAAAGAAAAAAAAAAAAAAAGAAAAAACGGAAATAATAATAATAATAATAACTTGCCACAATGTATTATGATCCACACAGTCAAAGGCTTTAGAATAGTCAATGAAGCAGAAGTAGATGTTTTTCTGAAACTCCCTGCCTTTCTCCATTATCCAGCGGATATTGGCAATCTGGTCTCTGGTTCCTCTGCCTTTTCTAAACCCAGCTTGAACATCTGGCAACTCTCGCTCCATGTATTGCTGGAGTCTTCCTTGCAGGATCTTGAGCATTACCTTACTGGCGTGAGAAATAAGGGCCACTGTACGGAAGTTTGAGCAGTCTTTCGCATTTCCCTTTTTTGGTATGGGGATATAAGTTGATTTTTTCCAGTCTGATGGCCATTCTTGTGTTTTCCATATTTGCTGGAAACTGGGCCCTGACACCTGCTTATATAGAACTGCAGCTTTTGCTGAGCCATTGCATCCGTTTAACCCTTTCAGTGCTTGATTCACATTTTTGTAATTAAAAATACGTAACTAATTTTAAATATTTCTGGTCTTAAAGCACTTGTTCCAGTTGCAATTTAGATAATCTAGTCTGGATTATCTAAATTGAGACTGACTTCCTCATTTTTTCTGAGCAGTTTTGGGTTAGAGTTCAGCAGCCCAAGACAACTGTATTCAAAGATTCACCATGTGTCTGAGAAAAGGGTTGAGAGAGAAAGATAATTAAAAATAAGACATTAGAGGCTGTAACTTGTAAGAAAAACATGGAAGTTGAATCTGGATTCCAGAATTAATGGAATATTTACCCAAATGTGCTATATGTTCTGAGCCTAGCCTTGCCTTTGTTCTGTTCACCATAAATCTCCACACAAAGTAGTGAGGGCAAAACAGATGAAATAATAAGGTGATTTGGCATCTCTGTTTCTTGCACATTGTTATCCCTTGAAGATTCACATGAAAAGGATTTATGAGAAAGAGGGAGAAATGTCACTTTCCAGATGGAATTGTTATAACCACTAATGAGGTCTTGGGCCGTGCTGCAGCCTATTAGATTTTCTTTTCCTTTCCTAGGATGAGAAAGTGATCCGTTCCTTTCTGGACAAGACTCTCACCTCCCGCTTGGGTATCCGGATGTTGGCCATACACCACCTTGCTTTACATGAGGATAAGGTAAATATATATTCTTTAACTGCATAACTTTGAGTGAGCTGTGACCCCTGGAAAAAGTATTTTTTGATTAGCTATAGATTTTCTGTGCCTGTGAACAGGAGACACATCTTGTACTGAACCAAACCATCTAAAGCAGTGTTTCTCATCCTGGGGGTTGGACACCTAGCGGGGTTGCGGGGGGGGGGGGGGGGTCAGCAAAAACATCAGAAAACACTGTATTTTCTGTTGGTCATGGGGGTTCTATGTGGGAAGTTTGGCCCAATTCTATCATCCACAGTGCTCTCTGGGTATAGGTGAACTACAACTCCAAAACTCAAGGTCAATGCCCACCAAACCCAGTATTTCCTGTTGGTAATGTGCCAAGACTGGTTCAATTCAATCGTTGGTGGAGTTCAGAATGCTCTTTGATCGTAGGTTAACTATAAATCCAGCAACTACAACTCCCAAATGACAATATCAATCCCCAAACCCACCAGTATTCAAATTTGGGTGTATCGGGTATTTGTGCCAAACTGGGTCCAGTGAATGAAAATACACCCTGCATATCAGATATTTACATTACAATTCACAACAGTAGCAAAATTGCAGTTATGAAGTAGCAACAAAAATAATGTTATGGTTGGGGATCACCACAACATGAGGAACTGTATTAACGGGTCGTGACATTAGGAGGGTTGAGAAACACTGATCAAAAGCATTATTGCATAGAGTCTTACGAGTATACTTATGAGTATATTTCTTGGGAGAAGAGCAATGACCAGTCTTGATAAAATAGTGAAGAGTAGAGACATCACAATGGCAACAAAGATCTGCATAGTCAAAGCAATGGTATTCTCCGTAGTCATCTACGGATGTGAGAGCTGGACCACAGGGAAGGCTGAGCGAAGGAAGAGAGATGCTTTTGAACTGTGGTGTTGGAGGAAAGTGCTGAGAGTGCCTTGGACAGCCAGAAGATCCAACCAGTCCATACTTCAAGAAATAAAGCCTGACTGCTCATTGGAGGGAATGATAGTAGAGACCAAGATGAAGTACTTTGGCCACATCATGAGAAGAAAGGAAAGCTTAGAGAAGACAATGATGATGGGGGGAAAGGAAGGAAAAAGGAAGAGGGGCCGACCAAGGGCAAGATGGATGGATGGTGTCTTTGAAGTGACTGGCTTGACATTGAAGAAGCTGAGGGTGGTGATGGCTGACAGGGAGCTTTGGTGTGGACTGGTCCATGAAGTCATGAAGTTGGAAATAACTGAATGAATGAACAATAACAACAACTTACGAATTCGAAAAGATCACAATGGTCATCTATCCCAACCTTGTGCCATGTTGGAATATACAACTAAAGCATTCCTGATAGATGCCCATCAATCCTTTGTCTGAAGACCTCCAAGACAGTCTATACTATCGAATAGCTCTTAGAGCAAACACATTCTTCCTAATTTTTAGGTATAATATCATGGATTGTAATTTGAATCCATTGGTTCTAGTCCCTGGAGCAGCGGGAAAGAAGCTTACTTCATATCTATATTTCTCCAGATATTTAAAGCTGGATATCGTGTCTCGTCTCAGATTTCTCCTCACCTCTCCAAACTAACCAAACCCACAACCTAAGCTTTCCCCATAGGGCCTGGTTTCCAGATCTTTGGTCACCCTTTTTCAGGATATATTCCAACCTGTCATTATCCAGTTACTGTTGGATAATCAGGGAGGCAAGAGCCCTGAGCCTGCAAGACCTGAGCAGGGCTGCTTGAGGTTACAATGGCTTGAAAGACTCTGGTTCATTAAGTTAACAAAACAACAAACCAAAGTCTTTTAATGCTTTAAAACAATTTCAAATCACGTGAACAAGTGAAAATCACTCATTTGTGAATTTGGATGAAATCCGTCATGCCCCATTTCCATTTCAGTTTCTTCTTTTCATCTCTTTCTGCAGCCAGACTTTGTTGGGATCATCTGTACTCGCTTGTCTCCAAAGAAAATCATTGAGAAATGGGTGGATTTTGCCAGGTATTGTTTGCTATTCCCCTCCTCCATCCCCCCTAAAAGATGAAGTCTCCTCATACTCTTGGTGTCTTTTTCAGCAATCTGTGACTTCCACCTTGTGGACAAGTTGTGCAGTTGCACTTTATGCAATTGCTGTATCTACTTATGACAATTGTCGAATATTCTTTCTTTATTATTATTATTATTATTATTATTATTATTATTATTATTGCCCCTGTGGCGCAGTGGGTTAAACCCCTGTGCCGGCAGGACTGAAGACTGACAGGTCGCAGGTTCGAATCCGGGGAGAGGCGGATGAGCTCCCTCTATCAGCTCCAGCTCCTCATGCAGGGACATGAGAGAAGCCTCCCACAAGGATGATAAAACATCAAATCATCCGGGCATCCCCTGGGCAACGTCCTTGCAGACGGCCAATTCTCGCACACCAGAAGCGACTTGCAGTTTCTCAGGTTGCTCCTGACACGACAAAAAAATTATTATTATTAATGTATTTTTTATCCTGCTTTTCTCCCATGACTGGGACTCAAAGCAGCATACAAGGCAAAAACAGCAAAGATAAACATAACATAAAAATCCAACAAAAATATCATAACCCAGGTAAACAGATTGCACACAATACCTCCAATATAGAAACATTTTAATAAATTATGATATATATCATTTAAAAAAATCCCTAAACTGCTGACCACTGAAATTATTCAAGTGCTTGAATGTTATACCTCTATACTTACTTACTTACTTACTTACTTACTTAAGAGAGCCCACATAGTCCGAGGATGATGGTCCTCCAAGTGTAGTGTCTTGGCAGTGAGTCCGTATGTGGCTGTGGAGCCCTATTCTCGATCCGCATGTTCTCCTGCAGTGAGGACAACAATTTCCAGGTGGAAGGCAGTCCCAGTCAGGGTTGGCTTGGCGCACCTTCCTCTTGGCACGTTTCTCTCTTTCACTCTCCATTCCTGCCTCTGAATTCTGCAGCACTTCTGGTCACAGCTGACCTCCAATTCGAGCGCTCAAAGGACAGGGCCTCCCAGTTCTCAGTGTCTATGCCACAATTTTTAAGGTTGGCTTTAAGCCAATCTTTAAATCTTTTTACCTGTCTACCAACATTACGTTTCCCGTTCCTGAGTTGAGAGTATAGTAATTGCTTTGGGAGACGATGGCCTGGGTGGCAAGACATCTAATCTTTGATATCATACTGCTAAACATGAATTGCAAAATTCAGCATCCCTGATTCAAAGTCCTATTAAATAAGATATAGTGCCTCCTGTCCACCAGTAATAATATGTCTTGGCTTAGCTGGGACTTGATTGAAGGAAGATTAATCACACTTATTGCAAAGGAGTAATTCTCTCCCCTAAGCTTCATGTTAGAAGTTCATAGCTTGGATTAGACTCATCAGACACAAGGAGCCCCCGGTGGTGCAATGGGTTAAACCCTTGTGACAGCAGAACTGCTGACCAATAGGTCAGCAGTTTGAACCTGGGGAGAGCGGGTTGAGCTCCCTTTGTCAGCTCCAGCTCCCCATGTGGGGACATGAGAGAAGCCTCCCACAAGGATTCTAAAACATCAAACATCCATGCGTCCCCTGGGCAAACATCCTTGCAGACAGCCAGGTCTCTCACACCAGAAGAGACTTGCAGTTTCTCAAAATCAGACACAAAGTGAGCAGGGAGATTGTATTTAGACATGCAACTCTACTGTAATATAGGTTGTTTCTAGGAAAGCCGGACAGAATGGATTTATGTACAACCTATTTTCATATGGCTTTCTAGGCGTCTCTGTGAGCACAAGTATGGCAACGCTCCCCGAGTGAGAATCAATGGGCATGTGGCCGCCCGCTTTCCTTTCATCCCCATGCCTCTTGATTACATCCTTCCAGAATTGCTCAAGAATGCAATGCGGTAAGTTCGCCTTTCCCCTTCTTGTTTGTGGCAAAGGGGTAGACTTTCCCCCCATAAAAATGGAGTGGGCCAAATGCCATCTCAGAGCTACATGTGGCCCCAAAGGCTGTATTTGTGGCCCTTAATTCCCACCACCCACCCCCAGGTTTCCCACACTGTGATTTTGTAGTTAAACAGAAACAGAAAATTGTGTTTCTTAGAGTTCAGGAATGGTGAGACTTAACAGTTTGCACCTTCTCATCAAGACTCAATTCTCCCTTTAAAAATCCAAAATAAGTGGAGACCTTTAGTTACTTTTAGTTTTGATCCTGCCTCTTTTTAGGGCATTTTGGGCAAACTGTATAGCTATGGAGAGTCAGTCGAGCAGAAATGTGGCCCCTGAACCTACTGTGACTTCCTCTTTCTGTTCTAAAAATCTGCAACATTGATCCGCTATTATGTTTACGTTTCATTTAATTAAAAGACTTTTCAGGATTAGAAGGCTTTTATATGGGACTAGCTGTCCCCTGCCACGCGTTACTGTGGCCCAGTCTGTTGATCTGGAAAATAAAGTAACGAGAAAGTGTTGGTTTCTAATATATGGAATTTCTTTCTGCTTGTGGGTAAACAGTATTTCTTGCTGTGTCTTTGTCAGTGTTGATGTGGAGAGTGTCTGGTTTGCCCACCCTGGAACATGCAACATATCATTGTCCTTCTTTAAGGGTCCCTTTCAAATCTAGGATACTATATCTCTGTGGGTGTGAATCATATCTATCTATCTATCTATCTATCTATCTATCTATCTATCTATGGCTGGATGGCTCTTTGTCAGGAGGACTTTGATTACATTTTCTTGCCCTGATGAAGGGGGTTGGATTGGATGGCCTTAAGTATTTTCTGTTGGTCATGGTGGTTCTGTGTGGGAAGTTTGTCCCGATTCTGTCATTTGTGGGGTTCAGAATGCTCTTTGATTGTAGGTGAACTGTGAATCCCAGTGACTACAAATCCCAAATGTCAAGGTCTATTTCCCCCAAACTACATCTGTGTTCTTATTTGGGCATATGGAAAATTCGTGCCAAGTTTAGTCCAGACTCATCATTGTTTCAGTCCACAGTGCTCTCTGGATGTAGGTGAACTACAACTCCCAAACTCAAGGCCAATGCTCACCAAACCCTTCCAGTATTTTCTGTTGGTCATGGGAGTTCTGTAGGCCAAGTTTGGTTCAATTCCATCATTGGTGGAGTTCAGAATGCTCTTTGATTGTAGGTTAACTATAAATCCCAACAACTATAACTCACAAATGACAAAATCATAATTTTTTGAGTGATGGTCACTCCTTGTGTAGTGAGATATTTTGTTTCCAAATTTGGTGTGATTTCATTCATTGGTTCTTTTGTTTTTAAGGTATTCATTATACACAGAGCAGTTTTATATATATAGAAGATTACAAGACATAGGAAGCTTTTGCATAACACCAAATGGAACAGTGTTGAGATACCTTTTAAGGTCGAATTTAGCCTTGTTGTCTTCCTTTCAGAGCCACGATGGAATCTCACCTGGATACACCCTACAATGTGCCAGACATAGTAATCACCATTGCCAACAATGACATTGACCTGATCATACGGTACAGTGGAATCATTATTGTGTCTTTACTATAGCTTTAAGATCACCACCAATTTCTACAATTATGGCAGGACTTGGTCACTGTAGTATAATGCTATGGACACATGTAAATTGACTGAGCAGTACTATAGAGCTAAACTCCAGGAAACAACCTTCGTTTTGGTCAGGAATGGAAGGTATAAATTGTATAAATAACTTAGATTGCAGTACATGGCTTCTTATGTCATGGGCCTTCTTTTCATAACAGGATTTCAGATCGAGGGGGTGGAATTCCTCATGATCATGTTGAGAAGGTAACCGATTACCACTTCACTACAGCTGAAGCAAGTACCCAGGATCCCCGATTGAACACCCTCTTCGGAAACATGGTGGAAATGGGGAACAGCGCCCAGTCGGGGCCCATGCATGGGTGAGCACAGAGGGAGGAAAGGTGGGGTTTCTGGCAGTCAAGGCTAATTAATTAAAAAGAAAGAAAGAAAGAAAGAAAGAAAGAAAGAAAGAAAGAAAGAAAGAAAGAAAGATAGATAGATAGATAGATAGATAGATAGATAGATAGATAGATAGATAGATAGATAGAGGTTCCTTCTTATATGGAGAGAATTGTGATATAAACCCAGTTCCAATTCCAATCGAATAAGCCTTTATTGTCATATACATAGCAAAAAAAGAATAAAATACAGTACAAACCATAGAAGAGGGAACTTCACATTTGCTACACATTCAGTTTACAGACTTCATTCAGGAATCTTGCCACTGAAAGGCAGAAGTTAAAATCTTGACAATTTAAAAGCATAATTACTTTGTCTGGGTCACTGTGGTTTTTCAAGGCATCTATAACGTGTGGTAGTAAGCTAGATCTTGGTTCTTTGTAAAGTGGTCAGTGCAGAAGAATATGCGGGATATCTATTTATTTACTTATTTACTGTATTTATATACCGCTTTTCTCAGCCAATCGGCGATAGGATCCAGCTGTCCTCTACTACAGGGAGAATGCCTCTTATTTCTCTGTAGACCGTTAAGTCTTCCTCTATGGAGCGGAGATGGCATAATGTTGTTGTTCATTCGTTCAGTCGTCTCCGACTCTTCGTGACCTCATGGACCAGCCCACGCCAGAGCTCCCTGTCGGCCGTCACCACCCCCAGCTCCTTCAAGGTCAGTCCAGTCGCTTCAAGGATGCCATTCATCCATCTTGCCCTTGGTCGGCCCCTCTTCCTTTTGCCTTCCACTTTCCCCAGCATAATTGTCTTCTCTAGGCTTTCCTGTCTCCTCATGATGTGGCCAAAGTACTTCAACTTTGTCTCTTTTATCTTTCCCTCCAGTGAGCAGTCGGGCTTTATTTCCTGGAGGATGGACTGGTTGGATCTTCTCGCAGTCCAAGGCACTCTCAGAACTTTCCTCCAACACCACAGTTCAAAAGCATCTATCTTCCTTCGCTCCGCCTTCCCTAAGGTCCAGCTCTCACATCCGTAGGTGACTACAGGGAATACCATTGCTTTGACTATGCGGATCTTTGTTGCCAGTGTGATGTCTCTACTCTTTACTATTTTATCGAGATTGGACATTGCTCTCCTCCCAAGAAGTAAGCGTCTTCTGATTTCCTGGCCACAGTCTGCATCTGCAGTAATCTTTGCCCTAGAAATACAAAGTCTGTCACGGCCTCCACATTTTCTCCCTCTATTTTCCAGTTGTCAATCATTCTTGTTGCCATAATCTTGGTTTTTTTGATGTTTAGCTGCAACCCGGATTTTGTGCTTTCTTCTTTCACCTTGATTAGAAGGCTCCTCAGCTCCTCCTCGCTTTCGGCATAATATTAAGATATAAATCCAGCTGTTAATCTCATTTAGAACAGATCCAGTGAAGTCGTGCTATCCCTCTATTCTGCCTTGGTCAGACCACAGCTGTGTCCAATACTGTGGAATACTGTGTCCAATTCTGGGCACTGCAATTTAAGGGTGATGTTGACAACCTGGAATGTATTCAGAGAAGGGTGACTAAAATTATCAAGGGTCTGGAGAACAAGCCCTATGAGGAGCGACTTAAAGAGCTGGGCCTGTTGAGCCTGCAGAAGAGAAGGCTGAGAAGAGGCACGATAGCCATGTATCAGTATATGAGGGGAAGTCATAGGGAGGAGAGAGCAGGCTTGTTTTCTGCTGCCCTGGAGACTAGGACGCGGAACAATGGCTTCAAATTACAGGAAAGGAGATTCCACCTGAACATTAGGAAGAACTTCCTAACTGTGAGAGACGGCTGTTCAGCAGTGGAACTCTCTGCCTTGGAGTGTGGTGGAGGCGCCTTCTTCGGAGGCTTTTAAGCAGAGACTGGATGACCATTTGTCAGGGGTTCTTTGAATGTGATTTTCCTGCTTTTTGGCAGGGGGTTGGACTGGATGGCCCACAAGGTCTCTTCCAACGCTATGATACTATAAGTGTATGAGATGTATTCAATCTGTGGGGTTCACAAAGGTGAACATACCAGTCAGCAATGTAGCTGCTGAGGGGGAAAAGGAAGGGGCCTGGGGCTGTTAGGAAGTGTGTGAGTTGGAGTCCAAAACACCTGGAGGGCCAAAGTTTGCCCCTGCCTGCTTTAAACCCTAATGGATAGCAACTTGCCACATAAAAAACATGTAAAGATTCCCAGGAAGCCACCCCCATTACCAAGCTCCAACACACAAATCCCAGGCAAAACCATGTTAAATGTACGACTGTATATTATCCCTGATATAGTTAGATGTGATACTCTGGTGATTTTTGGATTTTTTTTTCAAGCAATCGTCCTTTATAGGATTATCCCACACACTTGCTTTGCAAGACAGTGGCATCCCATGGAACAAAAGTAGTAGGGTTTGTCACTCTGAATGTGAAGGACTGCAGAAGAGTTTGCTCTACTCCAAAATTTGGTCATAGTACCAAAGACTGGGTTGCTGTGAGTTTTCCAGTCTATATGGCCATGTTCCAGAAGCATTCTCTCCTGACGTTTTGCCTGCAACTATGGCAGGCATCTTCAGAGGTTGTGAGGTCTGTTGGAAACCAGGCAAGTGAGGTTTATATATCTGTGGAATGTCCAAGGTGGGAGGAAGAACTCTTGTCAGCTTGAGGCAGGTGTGAATGTTGCAATTGGTCACCTTGGTTAGCAATTAATGACCTTGGAGTTTCAAGATCTGGCTGCTTCCTGTCTGGGGGGAATCCTTTGTTAGGAAGCGATTAGTTGGCCCTAATTGTTTCTTTTCTGGAATTCTCCTGGTTTTGATTTTAAAGTTTTTTAATGCTGGTAGCCAGATTTTGTTCATTTCTGAAAGGAGAAAACCATGAAAATGAACAAAATCTAGCTACCAGAATTTTAAAAAACCCTCTAAAATCAAAATAAAGAATAACACTAAAAAACAGGGGAATTTCAGACAAAAAACAATCAGGGCCAGCTTATCACCTTCCAACAAAGGATTCCCCCCAGACAGGAAGCAGCCAGATCTTGAAACTCCAAGGTCATTAATTGCTAATCAAGGCACCCAATTACAACATCAGATATATAAACTCCACTTCACTAGTTTCAAACAGACCTCACAACCCCTGAGGATGCCTGCCATAGATGTGGGTGAAACATCAGGAGAGAATGCTTCTTGAACATGGCCATACAGCCCGGAAAACTCACAGCAACCCGATGATTCTGGCCATGAAAGCCTTCAACAATACATTGAACAAAAGACTCCTTGCTTGCTGCTTCTTACTGCTATGTCTGAACAAGTGTGCACTTGCCTATCCTCGTTTTCTTTTTCACAGGTTTGGGTTTGGGCTTCCTACGTCCCGTGCTTATGCTGAGTACCTGGGAGGCTCCCTCACGCTCCAGTCCATGCAGGGGATTGGCACAGATGTGTACCTCCGCCTTAAACACATTGATGGCAAAGAGGAGAGTTTCCGCATCTAGGAAGACCTTTCTTTGTGGGTGGAATTCCCCTTGGCTGCTGGAGAAAGCTTTTGATCACCTACACCCAGGCCCAGTTCTGCAAGAATTATGGATTCCTACCAATGCTCCATGATGGCCTGGTGAAGCTCTCCTTTCCTCTTGGAATCCTGGGTGCTGTGACAAAGGATTTGTGGGGTTCGTGTTCCTGTGCAATTGCTGGTAGATACAGCATCGTCCTGGTTATTCCAGTCCTTCCTACGGGCATGCTTTATGCTTTAATGACTTGTTTCATGAAGCCAGATTCCTGTGAGAGCCTATGGACAACTTTTCAACTCTGTGCTTGGAGAAGCGTGAAGTCACAAAATGGCACCAGGGCAGAACAGAGTCGCTTTTCCGCTGCCCTCCTCCTGTTCACTGCCATCTGCATCTTCATTCTCCTTCTGCTGAGGTTGTGATTGTTTCTCAAAGACATGGGGTGAAGGGAAACCTTTTAGTCTCGCATGTGCGCATCCTGTTTGGATCTCTCAGGCTGTTCTTGATCTGAAAGTCAAACATTGACATAGTAGCATGTGGCACCAAAAACCCTTCCTTTTATCTTACTCCCTAAGTCTCAGCCAAGGACTTCTTTTATTGCTACATCTACATGTTGGGCCTTCAACAAATCAAGACTTCTCATATTTCAGGCAGCAGCCAGATGTCCTCATCTTGAGAGGAAAAGACTATATGACAACCTCGAGTGTTTGTATTTCATTGCTCTGGGGTGGGTTCCAGAACATTCTCCTCCTTTCCTGCACAATGATGTGTTTTATTTCCACCCTCAATCTGTTCTTTCTGTTGCCATTCATTATTTTTTTAAACAAATGTTACTTTGGGGAGTGGGGTGATGGGTTCCGCTCTTCCCTTTCCCCTCCCTATTCAGCATTAGAGGGAAAGGGACACAGAAATAATTCTCTTTTTTGCTGTGATACTCCAATAAAAACGTGCAGATTCCAAAATCTACCAAGCGTTGTCTACTTTTCAAAGGGAATTATTAGTAAAGTGATGATAACCAATGGCTAAAATTATGACATAATGTAAAATAAACCACGTGTAGCTCGTTTGATCAGCCCACACACTGCCTTGCCAGAGATAGAAAATATGCCATGCAGGTGAACAGTAAAGAACAAATAGTTTACTCTTCGTAGTTCAGAACAACATATATACAATGTGATCAGTTGCATCAACTCACATAATGCCCTTTTATGAGAGATTTAAAATAGTCTTTCTTTGTCCATAAGGATAAACTCCTTCAGCAGCTCATGAAGTGAGAGCACACTCCAAACTCTGTCTGTCTGTGCTTCTCTCTCTGCACCAGCATAGCTCAAGCCTGAACAAAAATGTAACAGTAACCAAAAGTCCCAGGCTCAGCCATCTCCCAGGGCATTGTCTGACCAATCAGCTTCATGCATCTTAATATTCATAGTATCAAGAAAGATATTCAGTATGCTAAAGCTGACTGACTTACTTTATAAGTATAAAGGCAGGTTAAGGAGAATATGACAAGCTGGGCTTTTGATATAGGTCATTCAATTCTATTGAAAGACTGGGAAACAATATGGAAAAAGAAACTAACATTCACAAAAGCATCAAGTATAATTGAAGGATGGTATAAGATTTATTTTAGATGGTATTGGACACCTTCACGACTATCTAAATTCAACAAAAACTATAGCAATAGATGCTGGAGATGTGAAAAAGAACTAGGCACCCACTTCCACACATGGTGGGGGTGCAAAACAATTAAGAAATTTTGGTCAACAATACATGACTACACTCAAAAAATCATTAATGTGAAATTTGAAATAAAGCCTGAACTTTACCTCTTAAACATAACAGAGACGAACTTCACTGAAAATGAAGAGAGAATCCTCTTTTATATAACAGCCGCAGCTAGAACAACAATTGCACAAAAATGGAAGGAAAAAATCTCTCCACATATTGAAGAATGGATAAACAAAATCCTTGACTACATGAATATGGAAAACTTATCACAAAAACTAAGCAACAAAGTAAAGAACAAACAAATAGACTGGGAACCTTTAAAAAGGTTCATGCAGGAAGAAATGCAAATCCAAATATAGAGATGTAAGATATAGCAACAAATATAGAAGGGAAAAAAATGGTAAAAGAAACAAGAGAAAAAATAATGGACAAAGTGTTTTACTCCTTGTGACCTGAACCGGAAGTCAACACCTTCCCCGCCCCCCTCTAATCCTACCCCCTCCTCCCCCCCTTCCCCCCTCTTGTTGGTCCCCTCCTTTCACCCCTGACTATCCTTTCTTGTCTACCTTAAACTGTGAATTGTTCCCCCTCTTTCACTGTATTTTATTTGGAAAACTGAAAATAAAAATATTTTTTAAAAAAAGGCAGGTGATAACTAATATGTTACTACAAATCATGGCACATTCCTTTTCTCTTGAACTTCATCTAAAATGGAGCATATTGAAATGGGAGTTGTACAATAAGATGGAGGCACTTTGGTGTTGTAGCCAAAAGGTCTTTTTAATTCTGTCTCACATGACACAGTTCTATAAGCTGAGATCTGTGTTGTTTTTCTAAAGTTATATTAGTTGGTAGTTTTACTCATTACGATTCATAACAATAGAAAAATTACAGTTATGAAATAGCAACAAAAATAATGTTATGGTTATGGGGTGGATCCCACAACACGAGGAACTGTATTAAGGGGTCATGGCATTAGGAAGGTTAAGCACCATTGTGTTAGACCAGGGGTCCTCAAACTAAGGCCCGGGGGCCGGATGCGGCCCTCCAAGGTCATTTACCCGGCCCTCGCTCAGGGTCAACCTAAGTCTGAAACGACTTGAAAGCACACAACAACAACAACAATCCTATCTCATCAGCCAAAAGCAGACCCACACTTCCCATTGAAATACTAATAAGTTTATATTTGTTAATATTGTTCCTCATTTTATTTATTGTATTGTTTTTAAGTGTTTATTACACTACAAATAAGATATGTGCAGCGTGCACAGGAATTCATGTTTTATTTTTCAAATTATAATCCGGCCCTCCAACAGTTTGAGGGACTGTGTTAGACCCTGGATTATTCTTGGAACTTCCCTGCATTGAACGTCTTCCACAAATTGGTGTATGAAAACAAGACAATTGCTAGAATCAGCTGAAAAGGTGTTATATGATGGAAGCACTTATTTCAGGCAAATTATCAGGAAGGCAAAATACCCTTAATACTAGAGAAAACAATTTTAATGATAGTAAAAAATAATGCTATTTCATAACAAATTCTTCTTATGGGTGTGGAAATGCAAAACTGAAAGTTGAAACCTATATGGCCTCATTAGATTACAGGCTAAAAGGTAAATAGAATGATTTGCAGGAAATCATTTGCTTTCTCTCAGCTTCAAAAAAAGGCATATTGCTTCATATAGTGTTTCCATGTATTTGCAACATTGTAAACACAATTACTAATATCTTCTGTCTATCTATCTATCTATATAAAAATGCTCTGTTCGTTTTGAGTGTCATCATTACTCAAAATCCGCTGGATGAATTGCTGCTAAATTTGGCCACAAGACACCTACTAACCCAAGGAGTTAGGACCATCACTAAAAAAAAAAAAGATTTTGTCATTTGGGAGCTGTAGTTTCTGGGATTTATAGTTCACCTACATTCAAAGAGCACTCTGAACTCCACCAACGATGGAGTTGAACAAAACATGGCACATAGGACTCTCATGACCAACAGAAAACACTAGAAGGGTTTGGTGGGCACTGACCTTGAGTTTTGGAGTTGTAGTTCACCCACATCCTGACAGCACTGTGGACTCAAACAATGTAGTTTCTAGACCAAACTTGGCATGGATACTCCAGATGCTCAAATGTGAACACAGATGGAGTTTTGGGGAAAGAGACCTTGACATTTGAGATTGTAGTTATTGGGATTTATAGTTCACCTACAATGAAAGAGTATTCTGAACCCCACCAACGATAGAATTGGGCCAAACTTTCCATACAGAACCCCCATGACCAACAGAAAATACTGTGTTTTCTGGGGTCTTTGACAACCCTTCTAATACCCCCTCACAACCACCACAGGGATCCCAACCCACAGGGTGAGAAATGCTGCCTTAAGACCATCCAATCCAATTCCCTTCACCAGGGCAAGAATACATAATCAAAGTCGTACTGACAAAGAGCTATCCAACCATAGATAAAGATAGATATATATAATTCACACACACACACATGTATATGATAGATATATATGATTCACACACACCTATATGACAGATATAATATCATAGATTTGAAAGGGACCTCTAAAGAAGGACAATTATATGTTGCAGGTTCCAGAATAGGCAAACCAGACAATCTCCACATCAACACTGACAAAGAAACAGCAAGAAAAACTGTTTACCCACAAGCATGAAGACATTACATATATTAGAAACCAACACTTTCTCATTACTTTATTTTCCAGATCACCAGACTGGGCCACAGCAACGCACACACATATTATTATAGGCAAAATATGTATCTGTGTTTCAGGACAATGACAGGATAATGGGAGATATATATAGTTCATATCATCTTAGAACACTGGCGGGGTTTGGAGGAATTGACCCAGCATGATTGGAATTGAAGTTCACCCACATCCTTATGCATTTTCTTATGGGCCCATTCATAAAATTCAAAACCAACCACATTTCAGGAGCTCTACATAGATTCATTATCACTCTAAGATGCAGCAGCAACAACGTGGAGGATGTAGAAAGGGATTTTGTTGAAAAGCCCCAGAATGGCCTTGGAGGGAGCGTGACACTTTTAATTGGAACTATTTGGATTTTTTTTTTATACCAAGGGAAAAGAAAGGCATAACTAGCCAAGAATAACTGCTTTTGAAGACTAACAGATTTTATTTTACATAAGATTTTGCGGACTGCAGCCCACTTCCTAGGATGGATGTAGCAGGCAGATATTTATGCACATGTCTGATGTGGGAATATGTAATTGTTAGAGAATGGAAATGTAGAAAGTACAAGCTTTTAATTGTTATGTGTACGTCTATATATGTGATGGGATACACTGTTAGAAGTGTTTGTGAATGTCAAAAATTTTACTATTCTCACTCTTTTATTTATATTACACTAGGGATGTATGTGTCCACTGTGTATGGTGTTCCTTCCGCTATTAACCTCTGCAACAATCCAGTAAGACAATTATATTGAAAGATAGTAGTGACCCATAGTCACTGGTTAATCACTGGTTAATTCAGTGATTAAGCAGAGATTTGGACCTGGGTCTCCTTGTTCCAAGCACTTTAAATGTTAATGCTACTGGCTTTCTCTGATTTGTTGTAGCTGTCAAAAAATATATATGCAATTTTATTATAGCTGTGTTTTCGAAGGCTTTCATGGCCGGAATCAATGGGTTGCTGTGAGTTTTCCGGGCTGTATAGTCATGTTCCAGAAGCATTCTCTCCTGACATATCACCCATATGGTAGGCATCCTCAAATGTTGTGAGGTCTGTTGGAAACTAGGCAAGTGAGGTTTACAGTGTTCCCTCGCTACTTCGCAGTTCGCTTTTTGCAAACTCGCTGTTCTGTGGGTTTTTGCCTCCCAGTTTATGAATGGATGCTGTTGCCCAGAGAGGCGTTCGAATCCCGCCGCCTGGCAACGATGGAGTGTGGAAGGGGTTTTATCCTCCCCCTCGGGAGAGAGAGAGCCAATCAAAAGAGAAAGGAGATACAAAGAGTATGTAAATCACACTGTCATAGCCCCTTCCTTATAGCTAGCAAAAAAAAAGTGTGCGGTGCTGCAGTTGGCCAGCTACATTAGCATTTAATGGCCTCAAAGCTTCAAAGCCTGGCTGCTTCCTGCCTGGGGGGATCCTTTGTTGGATTCCTCCAGGTGTGTATGTTGCAAGTGTGAATTGCAACATTCACACTTGCCTCAAGCAGACAAGAGTTCTTTCTCCCACCC